ATTTGTTTTTTAATATGCTGTGAACCGCCCTGAGTCCTATGGGAGAAGGGCGGTATACAAATTAAATTAACATAACATAACAACATAACATAACATGCTGCCAGCCTTGTCAGTCAAGGAATTCTGGCTGGCAGAGTTCAGGAGAAAGAGATTGTCTACTGTGGCTTCTGCCCTGTGGAATATCTTACTCCCTGAGTGGGATTGGCTGCTACCCTTCGGTGCTTCCTCAGGAGTCTGAAGTCTGCCAGATATCCTGGGGCCCTAACGGGAGAATCACATTGGAGGTGGTTGTTGAATTAAAAGGCAATCCCATGTCTCTCCCCGCCCCCCCCACTTTGTTCCCTCTTCCCCATCTTTTAACTATATGCCTTGCTGATTCCACTGGAGCTTGTTTCTAGTAAAATATCTTTATTTATGGTAGGCAGTGTTCCTTTATTATCAGTGATAAAGATGAAGAAAATACAGTTAAAAAACCAAAGCTTTTTAAATTTGTATTTGTGTGCCCAAAACTAAACTGTGCATCTGCATTAACATTAACTCTCAAATGTAATTTCCCTATATTCTCTTCACTGGCCTGCCTGTTCTAATGAAAAAAAAAACAAGTTTTCAAAATGAAGTTTCAGAATAGACAGTAGGTGAAAGGACTACTCATGCATTCATTTTGTTTGCTCTATTCTAATTCTGAGTCATCGTTATTTGTTATTTAAATTATGTATAAATTTTACATAGATGCTAAATAAATGTAGGCACCCCACACTAAAATTACATTGGCTTAACTTTTGCCTAATAACACCAATTGGAACTATCCAATGCTACCAATTTCCAACACTCACAGGTGGCTCTAAAGGATAAGATAGCTGATGTTATTTAATGATGCTGAAAGATGTAGCTTCACAAGGAAGGGTGCACAGTTCCCTCCAAAACAATTGCAGGTCATACATAAAAGTACCCAGTTTAGATTCCATCCAATACTCACACATGAAACCCTGAGTACAATATAACTGGAAAAATACAGAATAAGGTCTTTAATCCAGACTTCACTTGGCCGTTATTGCTGAATGCAAATAAAGAATGAATTTGACTGAACACGAGTTAGAGCTGCTATTAAGGTTTACCTCATACCAGTAAGAGTGGTGAAGCATCAATACTTCACTGCTCTTATTGCACCCACAGAATACCACTCAGCGATCCTGTTTAGGGTCACCTGGACTCTCCTTGGAAAAGGTGATCCAGAAATCCACCCACAGGGCTGTTCAGATAAATTTTCCAGGAGGATAAAATTTTTGGATGCCATATGAGGTGCAAGTCCTGTAGAGATGCTCAGGGAGCAGATTTATCCAGTTATCTGGAAACCGTTTGTTTCTGTTGAGCCTAAGGAAGTGGACAGACTTAGTGGAATGCAAATGCCAACATCTATGCCTCTCCTGGCTGGTTACAGCCTCTTATAAGGTAATGGTAATGGCATTGTTCACTGCCTTTTAAAGAGCAATTGGTATGTCTCCTACTCAAAAAACCATTGCTGGACCCTCCTATCCTGGACAATTTTTATCCAGGCTACCCTTGAAAAGTATGCCCAAAGAAAAATACACATTACACCTCTCCTCCATGAACTGCATTGGGCTCCAGTGCTTCTGGGTCTATTCAAGATGTTGATTATGACCTATAAAGCCCTGCATGGTATAGGGCCAGGCTATCTATGGAACCAGCTTCATCCCATTAGATTGGCCCATCCCACCAGATCAGGCAAGGAAGATGTGTTGTGGGCCCTGTCAGTTAAAGAACTTTGACTGTCAGGGTCTCGGAGGAAAGCCTTCTCTGCCATTGCCCCCACCCAATGGAATATTCTTTCTCTGGAAGCAAGGCAGGCCCCCACTCTGTTGGCCTCCAAAACATGGCTCTGCCTCCTCATATGAGGATGCCAAAAAAACCCCACTCAATCACAGGGTTGGTTCATGCCATAAGAGTTCTCCCTTTATATTTTTTTACATCTCAAAAACCTGGTATTTTAATAGGGCTGTGTAGACTTTACATCCACTTGTCCCATCTCTAACCCTCCAAATCTACTTTTAATAGAGTAGCTTCTAGAAGGAACATGCTTCTAGCTTTTACTCCCTTCTCCAAGTGTCCCATTCCTAGATTTATTCTCTTTTTGGCTCCTAGAGCTCCTGTTCCTATGTTCTTCCACCCCAAGAGAACAGCATCTCTTTTCTCTTTTTGCCTCATGCACAAAAGGAGATGTTCATCCAGCCAACCTTCCTTCCCATTCTTCATTTTTGGCACTTTGATTCCTTCTCCATGGCTAACTTGGGTTTCTCCTTCTTTTCAGTCCCTGTCCTGTTTTATCTCTTAACTGGTAACAATCATGGCTCAACTACTATAATGACTCTACTATAAATAATTCATTTCCTTCTCAAAAATTTTCTATTATTCTTTTTTCCTTCGGTATTCAATTTAATCTAATGCTTCTTTGCAATCCATTTTGTTTTACCTCAGTTGTGTCCTTCACTACTATTCCATATCAGTTATTCCTCTTTCTTCCCACATTAGATAAGGCTCAAGGCATTGGGGAGGTGGTCAGACCTTGTCCTCTTGTATACGTAAGACTGTTTGAGCCCTCCTTCTCTCTCCCCTCCCCACTGGGAAGGTTGCTGCCCAATAATTATCCATCCACTCCTTCAAATGCTCTTCTCCTTGGACTGCTCTCAAGCTTGCTGTGCAAGACTCCTACTCCTCTACTTCTTAAAGCAAACTACAGCTGGAGTCTGAGTCCATTGCCAGCCAGACACAGACAGCCCTACAGGGTTCTCCAAGCAGAGTCCAGATTCATCCTCCACACTCATAAGGCACTCAAGGAGGCTGATGGAAGCATCCATGAGGACAGGTAAATATTTATGCTTCTAAAATATAGAATAATTTTGTGTGTACAATATAAAATCAACAAAAAGAGGTTATAAAATTATATTGCCTGCCTTCCTTCCTCCCTTCCTTCCTTCCTTCCTTCCTTCCTTCCTTCCTTCCTTCCTTCCTTCCTTCCTTCCTTCCTTCCTTCCTTCCTTCCTTTCCTTCCTTCCTTCCTTCCTTCCTTCCTTCTTTTGCACACAAACACATATCTTTCTCAGAATATCCATTAATTTCACACATGTATACATTCCATGCAAAATTCTATAGCACAGGTGGGATTTTTCTGATATCCTTCTACTGTTTGTCTTGGTGCTTTTGCCAAAAAGCTTTAAAGGTGGAATACCATGCTTTATATACTTAGTCTTTTCAATTTGTATTTAGTGGGAAGTAAGTCTAAGATATATAATACAAACTAGCTGGCAAACTTCATGCCTTCAATACATGATAGACATTCAGTTTGGGAAAAACCTCATTTTTAATTTCAATTTAATAATAGAAGAAAAGAATTATGAATAAAGAAGAGCAAATCAACCTAATGCAGGGAGTTCACAATTTCTGCTTTGATCAAAAATTAAGTCTAAACGTAAGAAGTTTAATCTAAACTTGTATAGAAAAAAGTTTTGTTTTATGAGGGCAAGGTGGAGGAGTTTGACATATGTAATTAAAAGAACGTTTCAGTGCATTGTTTTATAAAGTGGGTTTGAAAAATGGGATGAATAGGTTATTGTTTAAAGCTTGTATAAATATTTTGAAATTAAATTTGGAAAGTATTTATATTAAGAGGAAAAGGGAAAGATAAGATTCTGACCTTCCATTTTTCTTTATTTTTTATATAAGTAATTCTTAAAGTTTGCAAAATATTACTGAAAATGTATGTATGTGAAAAGAAAGTTAAAAAAGATGCATTAATTGATGATGATTATAAAGATGAGATTTCTTAAGAAATGTTTAGAATCTTAAAATGAATATAAAAGAGTTTTCTCTTTAAGGTAATATTTGAAAGAATATGTTTTTTGTTAATCTTTCTAAACTATCATCATCCATATTAATAAATGTAAATAGAAATATATTATCATTTCCCACAACAGGGAGAAAATGGATTTAGTTTAGTTGCAATGTAAACTGTTTTTAAACAAAGAAATTTTATTTGGTCTTGCATCTGTTGGGACAAGCTTGAAATAGGAAAATAAAATTAGAATTTGGTTTGAAGCTTTGATGATTGTGTAGTGCCTTGTGTGGCTTGTAATAATTATAGGCAATGCAAAAAGTTGAAGTTGTAAATGTATTAGTATTTTACTGTTTTGGAAAGAATCAAGAGGCAACACCTTTTTTCCTCTCCTTTTTTAAATCCTGCCCTCCCCCTTTTAATCTTCATTGTATTTTATGCTATAATAAATCTTGATAGAATTTTCATTTTAAAAAAAGTTAAGTCTAAACTATATACTGTTTCAAAGTTTTTGAAAACAATAGTCTTGTTTAAACAATGCTGCATAGTGGTGGGAATCCATGGGAGTTGTTTTATAACTTATCTGAACTATACATCTGGAAAAGAAGAAGCTACATAATAATCTTCTTTAGATGAACCTACAATATTGAAATTATTTCTGTGTTCTGCCATGTTGTGTTCACTTTTCCCATCATTTGTTTAGACAGTCTAAATTAGTATATGACTAAAGTATTAAGAATTAAAAGCAACCTAGAGAAAATCCCAAACAGCAAATTGTATTTAGAATGAACCTCCAAAGAAACATAAAAAAGGAAAAAGGTTTTAATTAGCTGGAATGATCCAAATGCAGATCCTGCGGAAATGGTTGCCCTAAAATAACTATTTTTGCCTATTGTTACTAATAGAATGTATTTCCAAGGCATTGTATTTTGGGCTTCAGTCTTTGTTCTTCTAGAATAATGTAAAGTTTTAATGTAGAGTTGTGCTTGGCTTGACTGGGATATATAGCTTGCTGCTTTTTCATTAGGAAAACTTCTGCAGAATTGACTCCATGTCTCTAAGGAATTTACAACATTAATTCTCTTCTAGATACTATCTGTGTTTATGATCTTTTGTTGGGGTTCCAAACTAATATTTAGATTTTTGATTCTAGATGTCCACACAGAAGCAGTCCAGGCAGCCCTTGCAAAACATAAAGAACGGAAGATGGCAGTACCTATGCCATCTAAGAGACGTTCTCTGGTGGTGCAAACATCAATGGATGCTTACACCCCTCCAGGTAAGGACATATTCTAAAGGTATTACACTTGGATTTCAGAAGCTGATTTGAGCACTCATAACAGTAAATAGGTGTAGATGAATATGTAAGGTAAGAACCCTGCCATGTGTTGGTTACAATAACCCTGTCTGATCCATCTCTTTCTCACATTTGATGCATCTAATTTTATGTTATTTATTAAAGCCTTTTCTTGAGCAGCAAGCCTCAACTGACTATAGTGGGATAGACTGGTACATAAGAATCTTAGGAAAGAAAGAGCATCCTGGCTTCCTGCACAATTAGACATGGACCTCTCTTCTTACAAGCTACAGAAAGAACATTGATTTTACTCTAACGTTCCAAGGAAAAATTAAATAAGAGTTTAAAAAAAGAAAGAAAAAGACTACTCGGGTTACAATGCAGTAGCTTGGGAGTATCTTTCCTATTGTACTTCATAATTTGGGACCAGATTTCTTGATAGGTAGATATAGATGCATAGAGAATGCTAATGTGGCATTTTAAAGTCATTTTAGTGTGGCCTTTTAAAATACACAGACCTTGTTTGCCGATAGCATTATGGCAGGATAGATTTGATTTGCATACTTCACCTGGCCAGAGCCAGGAAGTCATTTTGCAGCAGGGAATCTTTGTGTTTTTAGCCTATTTCCAAGGTACTTAGTTAGGCTAGAATCCTTTAAAAAGTGAAATAGCTTTACAAGTTATTGGAAGTTTATTGTGTTTTTCATTTCATGAACAAAAGCACATTAAACAAAAACTGACATGTTATCTCATTGTTGCATGGTGATCTGGTGAGTTCTGAGGACTACAAAAAAAGAGGCCAGAGAAATGGATGCAAGACATGGATTGCTTCCATTCCTTTACCAAAGTTGACACATATTGTCTCTATTTTTAGGCTCTTATTCCTCTCACTTTGCAAATATTTTGAAATGTCCTGAAATAACCATAAGGAATATGAAGAAATTTGTAGAGTGCCGTTTCTGTTGCTGTGTGTTATTCACTTAATTCTGCCGTATTAAACAAAGTCCATTTAGTTCAAGATTTTGAGTTCCCACTGTGGCCAAACCAGATATTCTTCTGCTGTAGCTTTATAGCATCTGGTGTTTATTGCATGCTGTTACTAATGTTAGAGAATTGCTACTTTGGGAATGGAAATGCTTTTAGAATAAAGCAATGATTCTGACTAAATTGTGAATAATACAGCAACATTTCCTGTTTTGATATAAGTTCTAAATCAAGATATCTAGAGGACATCAGGTTGGAGAAAATTATTGTAATAGCTCAATTTTGTTGCATGGATACACCAGTATATTTAAAGTTATGCCAACCACTTAAACCCTTAGCTCAGCAGAAAATTGTTCCTGAATTGTTTTGCAAATTTCTTGGACACCATTGCAATTTGAACTGAACTCTTTGGCTTTGGGTTAGTGCCTGAATACTGCAACATAAAATCTTAGCTCAGAGTTTTGCTTTGCTTTTGTCTGCCATGCTAGATACCTCCTCTGGTTCGGAAGATGAAGGTTCTGTGCAGGGCGATTCACAGGGAACGCCAACCTCAAGCCAAGGGAGTATAAATATGGAGCACTGGATCAGCCAAGCCATCCATGGCTCAACCACATCTACCACTTCTTCATCCTCAACACAAAGTGGTGGCAGTGGGGCTGCGCATAGGCTAGCTGATGTTATGTCTCAAACGCATATAGGTATGTATGGACCGCTTTTTTTCGTTACATATATTTCTTATCTGTTAAATAGTTGTGTTTATAGATATTATTTCACAAATATTTCAAAACACAATGTAACTTTAAAGGAAAAACATTTCACTGTTTTGGAGAAATATTGAAAAATGCCTTTTCAAGGACACTCAGAGACGTGTATCAGTGCCAGATGTGTTAAAATATTCATTTTTTTAAAGCTTCTCTCTGTTTCCTTTAACTATGAAATACCATTCAGACTAGAAATTCTTTATCTCCCCTCCCCTAGTTTTTTTGAAAACAATTCTCTTACACTATTAATTGAAGGTCATATGTTCTTTCAAAACACAAACAAACCCAGCAACGAGTGGAAGAGTTCCTTTCTTAAGGCGAAATTTTATCATGTAGTATTAAATATTTTTAATAATACAAAACTGGATAAATCAAATATTTAATGGCGTATGTTTGTGGGGGAGGGAATAAGTTCTATCAAAGGCATGAACTTATTAAATGTTCTAACCAAGACAATTTCTTGAGTTAAAGCACTATAACAAACCACAACTCTAATTTACAAGCCATATATTCCTACAGTTTGAAAATTTGCAACTAAAGAGAATTATGGGTTAGCATGACAGATAAAGCCAACAAGTTTTTGCATTTCTTAGTTAGATCATAACTAGATATTTAGAGATCACCTTTTCAATTTGATGGCATGAGGAGAAGGTATCTTTTAATGAAAGGCGTATGAGTAAATCAGTTTGTTTATGCTGGAAGAGAACACAATTGCACGAACTGAAATAAGAACCCTTTAAACAGAAAAAAAACCCTTGTTCTCAAAGTATGGAGTGCTAATAATATTAAAAGAGTGTAACTCATGTTGACTGTATTACTGTTTACAAAATAGGAGTTTGAGGAAAACCAACCAGTCAGTAATGCATGGATAAGCTAGAACACTTCATTCATGCTTTAAAGTAAAATAAGACATCAATTTGTTGTCTCCACAACATCAATCAGGAATAACAATGTACTATTAATGACAAAAATGTGCATATGATCATGTTTCCATTAAGGAAATACATTTTATAGGTTACTCTGCCAGTGGGAAGTGCCTCATTATAACAAGCCATTGCATTTTGAAAGTACTAATTGTGATCAATATCAATTTTAAAAGAAAGCACTCACCACCTCTGACTGCAAAGAGGATACTTCCAATCTGAACACAAGGGGAAACTAACCTTCTAAGCCACATGTGAAATATCATTAACTTCTTCAGGTAATATATCACCCCAACAGGAAGTCTTGGGAGGTTGAATGGAGATCATAATGTGAAATATGAACAGGGCCTGGAGTGCCAATAACTTTTTTGCAAGGTTATTGAGACCTTTTTAATGTCGTGTTTCTTTCTTGCATTGTGGTGCACCCATCCTAAAAGGTGTTCAAACTCTGAGCAGAAATAGCTTGTCTTTTTGCTGCTACTGATGATAACTTTAAAACTGAAGCACCTTTCAAGTGAGGAAAAGCACTTATAACAGATTACTTGTTACCTGCCCATCCCTTATTGGTAAATTAGGACTTAAGATGAAAGTCTTAAAGGAAGGAAGCACTCACACTAAAAAAAACTACATGCAAGCTCATTGAAGATAGAAGTGAAAAGACAAATATTACTAGATTCTGTTTGATAATAGACATTGGTTTTATTTGACTTAGTCAAGAAATTGTGAACTACCGTTCTCTGGGATTTTCCCCTGATTTAAGCTATTATGTCTTCCATAAATACCATTTAAATTCAACACATTTATTCAAGGAAATTCCTAAATTACAATTATAGTATGTGCTTAATCATCCCTGCACCTTTATTAAATTAAGGAAGCCCCTTCCACCATCTTTCTTTTGGCCACTGTTAAATTCTTCATGAATTACAGAGAAAACTATTCAATAACTATTCAGTATTTGTTTAGAAACAAACATTTACATCAACTTGAGTGCATAATTTATCAGAAATAAAACATTGCTGTGATCCTGTAGGTTTTTATTTTTGTAAAACAAAAGCAGGCGGCACAATGGCCCAACAGTTAAGACACTTGAGCTTGTCGTCTGGAAAGAACAGTCCATGTGTGAGACCCAAGCACCATGCCATAGGGTGAGCTTCTGTTACTTGCACCAGCTCCTGCCAACCAAGCAATTTGAAATCATGCAAATACAAGTTGATAAATAGGTACTGCTTTGGTGGGAAAGATTACTATGTTCCATGCTGGCCACATGATGATGGAAACATCTCAAACAACGTAGGCTCCCATGACTGAGAATCTGAGATGAGCACCACCCTCTTTAATTGATCACAACTGGACAGGGGAAAGCTTTAAACTTTAAAACAAAAGCATTGCTAAAAGATTGTTGTTAAGATTTATAACATTAGGTTTAGTGGTATATTATAAGAATATAGAAATCCTAACGACTTTATGGCTTGGTTTTCACATTACTCTTTAAGTTACAGTGTAACTTGATTTTTGCTTAATGTGGAGTATGAACCCACTCATTGTGATAAATAAATCATAGTTTGTGGTTATATGTGAATCTGCCCAATTACACTGCATTATTAAACAGACCATTGTAGATGAACCCAGTCTTTAGAAATTCATGCAAAGACAAGCAAATGAACACAGAAATATCCTTTTAATTTTTGTTTTCTATTTTCTACAGTTCACAAAACTTCAGAATACAGTATTGCAGCTTCCTATAAACATATTATTTTAACATATTACTCTATTTTTGTTCTGCAACTTGCCTTCCACTAGCATAGCAATTAATTCTGAGTGACACCCAATTTACAGATATTGATCTAGACGTTAGAAATCATGATGGTATTGGTATACAGTATATTGCCTGATAGCTCAGAGGAAAATGTGATTTAATTAAGAAAATGGACACCAATTAATGATCATTATTTTAATGAAGATGATGATTCTTTGGTAATTGATAGACATTGAAAGTAAAATACAGAAAATGGCAATGTTTACAGAAGAAGGTACTTAGTCTTCAAATCTAATGTTTGTATTCCTGAGCTGGTAAATTTGGATTAAGAAAAATTCTTCATTTAGCAGTTAGAATCAAAAAGAGGAAATTACAGTCCATTGCAGTGCTTATTTTTGATAAGGAAAGGATAATTACATTCTGTCCAGAATTTCAAAGTATAATCCGAATTGGCAAGATACAGCATGTAATTTCATTGACTCAGAAAAGTTGTCCTTTTCAAAATGGCAAAATGTATAACAACCATTATTGAAATTCAGAATTTTTGTCTTATGCGTATAAGTCTTTTTATTTAACACTAATAAAATTGCTCTTTTATTATTTGGGCTTCTAAAATAAATTGTAGAATGTGTGCATCTTTTGGACACAGGTTATCCATGTGTTATTTCATTTATTAGATTATCTTTATTCAACATTTCTTTCAGAAATGATGAAATAATGCACATATTTCTCATATACACAAAACTTCTGCCACAGGGAAACTCACAGCCTAAGGTTGTCCATGGGCTTTGTGAATGATTTCACAGTGATTTCATTCTGGATTTAATTCCTTAACAAGGTGCCTTCCAGACGTCCTGATTTCCAATATTCATATCTGAACAGTTCTGGAATTAAGAAAATTGTAAAATCGTTCTGCAGGATGAGGTGAGGCAAGGGCAGGGCAGGGGTGCCATTGCCGTGGGGCAAGGCAAGGCAAAGCAAGGCAGGGACTGGGGCAGGGGCTGGTTGCAGACAAAGGGGGGCTCCAATGAGGAGGAGGAGGAGGAGGTGGAAGAGCGTTTAAGCAAGTTTAGCAACCAGAGTGGGGATCCCCCCCCAAACAAACGTGCTTCGTGGGTAACCTCAAAGCACGACAGAAGAGACCAAAACCTGCTGCAACAACCCAGCAGATGGGAGGGGAATAAAAACCAAACAGCCACCCCTCCGGAGAGCTGCGCATGCGCAGAGAGCACGAAGAGCTGCGCATGCACAGAGAGTGTGAAGCACTGCGCATGCACGAAGCGGAGGAGGGAAGCAGCTCAGCCCAGCAATGGCTCGTGTACCACTAGGGACGGCTCTGCGTGCCGCTTGTGGCACACGTGCCATAGGTTCGCCACCATGGTATTAAAGGAAGAGACAGTTGCCAGCTAGTCTTAGGAAAACTGCAGGCACTCTATAGAGACAACAGAGCTAACCCTTCTGAAGAGCTGTTAATTTGCAGCCACTCCTCTTTCCCTGGAGCCCTTATGGCTGCTTCACCAAAACCTTGCCCTTCTCCCAAGACATGGCAGGACAGTGGTTCAGAATAAGCTCCAGAACCAAGCTTTGGATACAAATTATGGTTAAGGCATTCTGACTATAGCCTGGATTTAGACACTAGGCTAAATTAAATTGTATTGTATGAACTATTATATATCCATGAATCATTTTAGTAAGAATGTATTCAAATTAAAATGTTTTTAAAATGTAGCCTAAAGTACAACCTATTAATTGCCATTAGGGAACTGTACTTGGCTGATGCTTTATTTTGAATTTATATTAGAATGTCTCTGAAAGTGCCTGTGGCAGGCTTGTAAAATTTTGGGGCAGAGAAGACAAAATTCATGTTTACAGGTCCCAGGCATGAAAATATATTATTGGTGTAGGTTTAGTTAAAAATCTTTCATTGCATGCACACACACACACACATATATATATGTATGTATGTATGCATATGTACATGTCCATGTATATGTATATGCATGTATATATGTATATGTATATGCATATATATGCCAAATGGTGACATATATATATATGCACCATCATTTGGCATAATTACTGCTCTTGTAATATGCATCGATCAGTCTGGATAGCATTCATTTTTCCCACGCATGTGGTTATTTAACATTATCATTTGACTAGTGCCATTGATTAGAGACAAGATGAGAGGACAGTCTACGGTGTAGCCAAAGAGTACCAAAATTGTAATTCTAGTATGTGATTTTTAAGTTGTACTA